AAAATGGAAACCTGGAGTATAAAGTCACAGCTGAACTTGATTTTTCCTCAGTCATGGCCATTTTTAGTTATACAAGTACAACAAACATAGGAATATTCCACACTCACGGGGACAGATCCTGTTCCCTCTGCAATCAATTGAAGTTTTGGAGTGGGAGCAGGATCATATCTATACAGTATTAATCTATATACTTGTACCCAGGTTAACCTTGATTTAAACCTATTTGCTTAAATAAGGAAACACATATTTGAGGATGAGTGTGTTTAAATAAAAGCTGTCTTTGTTGTCCCCATACACTTCCTCCTCTTGTTGCACCTTCTAATGCAAACATTAGAGTAGGAAAAGGGGTGAAAAAAAACGGACATTGGGTTTTCTGTGGAATGGTAATATTCAAAACCAAGGATTTAAATAGTGTAAGAGACTTTTGGTGGGGGAAAATATCTCCCAAAAGAGAAGGACAAGTTGTTGGGGGGGGGGGGAGGGGGAGAGACTTTTCTGGAAAATACATGCTCAAGCAATGGTTTCCCTTAGGGACGTCTATGGTTCATCTTCATTTTTTTAAAACTTCCTTTTAAATAGATTGGAGCAGTTTGTTATCCTGTTGAGATCATTTTAAACTTTTTCTATGAATTTGAAAATCCAAGCTGTTGAAATGTACCACTATGAAGTGTAAGGCAGAGACAAAGAAACAGCAAAAGACAAGAGGCTCTACATAGAAATGATTAACAAACAACATCATTAAATGAACTAAAACTAAATGATCCAAAGTCCATCCAGCAGTCCAGTCCACTATACCATTTCTCCTGGGATGTGTGTATTCTCTTTTTAACCCTACTGCGATCAAATTGTGATTTCCCTGGTTGTTTGTCATAGGGGAGCAGATCCTACCAACCTTTACTCAGGTTTGTAACTCCACTTACTCCAATGAACTGCTTAGCTGAGAAAGAGTTTGGAGGTTGGGACCAAGAGCTATGTCTCAAACTGTGACAGTTTGAGTGAGGGACATTTCAAACAGGGAGAAGGAGGAAACACTGACAATTTTTCCATCCGCAGAGGAAGAAATTTAAGAAACCAAACTCCTCCTTTACAAGAGAGAATAGCTTTAATCCTCCCTCACAAAATTCTACATGCAAAACCCACGGTGGCAAGAGAAAACCTACTTAAATTACATGCATCCGAAGAAGTGAGGTTTTTACTCACGAAAGCTTATGCCCAAATAAATCTGTTAGTCTTTAAGGTGCCACCAGACTCCTTGTTGTTTTTCTACTTAAATTGTAACTCCAGAATAATGGGAATCTTCCTTTCAAAAGAGAATGAATCCTGGCAGGATTTTGCCATTTAGAGGCTCCCCCTTTGTCAATTTCGGTGCCACCTTCTCCATACAACACTCCCAGCAAGCTTCCAAGGGGTGCTGTGGAAGTTGTGCTGCACTAAGGACTTTGCAAAGTAGAGGAAATACGGTAACACATGTGCATTCTTCAGCCCCACGTGGAAGGGTAAATTTGCTGGCTTTGACTGTGTGGTTAAAGATCAAACCCGGAAACGGAAATGTAGAGCGGAGAGTTGTATTTTGAACTCCCGTTGGGAATAGAGAAGGGAGAGTAACGGGTGTGTGGTGAGTTTCCCGATGTGATTTCCTAAAGCTGTTTTAATTCCCGTTTCTATTTAACCCGATTTGCATGAGACTGGTCTGTGTATTCCCCCCCCCCCCCCCCCCCCCGGGGGGGGGGGGGG